TACCCAGTCTAATGCGGCTCTTCTGTGTGCCGGGCGCGCTGCTCCCCTCCCTCCTCTCGGTCGGCCGCTCCCCTGCCTCCTCTCGGTTGGCAGCCCCAAAAGTCCGCGCGGACCTTTTAATCCGGCTTGCGGATGTGGCTGTCAGGATGTGTGTAGGCGGGGCAGCGTGCCGAACGTGAGGGGAGGGGAGCTAGGCTCCTCTCACAGTCCGCCCTGAAGACCCGAACGGCGCGGGAAGACAGCGAGAGGAACGCAAAAGGTAAGTGAATTGACACGGGGGACTTGGCTTACTAGAAGGGGGGGGGGGGGAATAGTACTGTGGGGGATGAAATACTATATGAGGGATGAATTACTTTATGAGGGATGAAATACTATATGGGGGGATGAAATACTATATGGGGGATGAATTACTATATCAGGGATGAATTACTATATGAGGGATGAAATACTATATGGGGGGATGAAATACTATATGGGGGGATGAAATACTATATGGGGGGATGAAATACTATATGGGGGGATGAATTACTATATGAGGGATGAAATACTATATGGGGGGATGAAATACTATATGAGGGATGAAATACTATATGGGGGATGAATTACTATATGAGGGATGAATTACTGTATGAGGGATGAAATACTATATGGGGGGATGAAATACTATATGAGGGATGAAATACTATATGAGGGGATGAAATACTATATGGGGGGATGAAATACTATATGGGGGATGAAATACTATATGAGGGATGAAATACTATATGAGGGATGAATTACTATATGAGGGATGAAATACTATATGGGGGGATGAAATACTATATGGGGGGATGAAATACTATATGGGGGGATGAAATACTATATGAGGGATGAATTACTATGGGGGATGAATTACTATATGGAGGATGAATTACTATATGGGGGATTAATTACTATGCTTACTATGGGGGAATATTACTATACTTACTATGGATGACACATACACATCATTCATCTACTCTTGGTCCGGCCCCCGGGTCCAATTATAAAATACTTTATTATTTCATAATAAAGTAATTATAAAATAATTTCTTTGTGTTTGATTCCTATTCAAGAGAATTACTTTATATATAGTCAATATAGGCACAGAGGTAAATTTTTTTAACATTTTCTAATGGTGGTGTGCCTCGTGATTTTTTTTCATGAAAAAAGTGTGCCTTTGCACAAAAAAGGTTGAAAAACACTGGTGTATAGAGCCAAAAATGTTAGAATTGTGTCAATGTCCCAATATTTATGGACCTGACTGTAGAAAAGAACAGCGAGTGGCAGCAAAGGTTTTATTTTAATGTTTAGAATGGCCCCTTTTAATTGCACTCCTGGAGCCAACAGTTTCATGGTTACAATCAGAACTAAAGCACATTGAAACATTTTGCACTTTGGAATTTAGATTGTATGTTACACACTACTCATTAAAGATTTCATATATATAAAAGACGCCCCTCCCCCTTTATTTTAAATGCTTGCGTATCCCAATGTCGGCTAATGTTTCTAAGTCCCCGGTCACACGGGATGTGAATTGGCATGCCATGTGACTTGCAAATTGCATGCCAAGTCACACCCTATTGTCCACAATTAGAGCGGTCATATCGGTGCGGTTACGATTTGGTAAAAAAAGTAGTACATGCACTGCTTTCCGTGCGATTTTCATAGACATCTGTGTCAGATGTCTTGCAAATCGCACTTGAAATGGGCAGGTCATCTGACTGTGAAACTGTGCGACTTCACTGTAAGTCGCACAATTTCAAAGTTGGGTTTAGTGAAGCTGAAGTTTAAACTGCACAGATTTGCCTTCCCTGGTGGCTGCCTCCATTACCTTAACAACATGATAATGACATTTTGAAACAAAACATTTCTGTTTTCATTACATTTTATTGCCAGTGACATCATGACTGGGACTCTGTTTTTCTCATTTTCCTAAGGTGGGACAATATTTTTAAAGCTGTAGTTTAATATGCATATATTTTGCCCTGGTGCCTCCCCTCCCTCCTCATGAACATGCTAATGAAAATTAAAAAAAACAAAAACGTTCGGTTTTCATTACATATCCAGCGACATCATCACTGGGGCTCTGTTCCTCTCTCTCTGCAATGCAGGCAGATCGTGGCTGGTGGGAGGGGCCGGCAGGGTGCCGTACATGGTTTCCTGAACACGTCACAGTGCCCTTCCTCAGTACTTCTCCAGAACCCGCAGTCCTAATTTAAGCATCGGGACAGCTCATGGGAGGAGTTATGCAAATATAAAAATGCCTTGATGTGTGGTTGTCCATCTGAAGGAGTGGGCGCTATATTTGCATGCAAACTACCCAAGCTAATGCCCACATGTTGAGCCGTCAGGATTGAAAGAACTGAAATCCAATGAAAGAGGGGCGGCCAGGGACAGTCAGGCTGGGGGGGGGGGGGGAAAATCTAGCTGAAGTTGGACATTCTCCAGCCAGGAAATGAGGCGGGCTCTTCTCACTTCTTGTCCCAGTGACACACGTAAAGGGGTATTGATGGCGCGTAAAGGGTTAAAACCATAGGGCTAAGCCTTTGTACAACACAGCTTGAAAGTCCAATTAAAGTCCAACGTGGAGACCAAGGAAAAGTAGGTCCTACAGTCTGCTTCACACTTGTGTCTGCTATCCAAGAGTTAGAAGTGGGCTCTAGACACAGAACACAAGCAGAAAAAGGGAAGCGCCACTTAAGTGCAGCAAACCAACTATTTTTATTAAGCTCCAAAATTGGCAACAAAACTGCACCTCGCTTATCACAAGGGTAAAGCGGCTGTAGTCCTGATCCCAGGATCCCACTGACCAGGACCACCGTGGAATTTACCCAGTTTGATAAGCAAGTTGCAGTTTTTAACGTGTGAGTTGCCAATTTATGAGCTTAATAAACATGGTTGGTTTGCTGCACTTGGGTGGCGTTTCCCTTTTTTCTGCTTGTCCCAGTGACACAACATGTGTCATCTAAGCAGGTGTCCCCTTACTGAAGATTTCCCCTTTATTCCTGTTTCCATCACACCATAAAAAAAAACTTTGGCTTTCCCATCGCTTTCTGCTGTCCCTGTGATAATGGCCACTGGGACAAGTAAAGGGGGTGAATCTCACTAGCGGGGTACGGGCTGGTAGAGGTTCTAACCCTTTCAATCCATCTGAATTTTTTTTTTTTTTTTTTTTTTTTTTTTTTTTTTTTTAAGTCTAGCTAGAGATGCACTTAAAAATATAAAAATGCTTTAAGCATCCTTGTAGGACGAGTATGGGACAACAGGAAGCGGCTAGTTGCTGGGTTGTCCTGCTTACCCACTTGACATCAGTGAGCCAGACCAAGTATCCAGGATGAAGTATCTCTTTTTCACCACTAGATGTCCTCGGTCTTCCTGGTTGAAAGACACCCAGTGTCACTCAGCCAGGATGAAGACCGTAGGTAGTCATGGTCCCGACCCTTGATGCTTTAAGCATCCTTGTAGGGCGAGTATGGGACAACAGGAAGCTGTTAGTTGCTGGGTTGTCCTGCTTACCCACTTGACGTCAGTAAGCCAGACCAAGTATCCAGGATGAAGTATCTTTTTCCATACTAGATGTCCTCGGTCTTCCTGGTTGAAAGACACCCAGTGTCACTCAGCCAGGATGAAGACCGTAGGTAGTCATGGTCCCGACCCTTGATGCTTTAAGCATCCTTGTAGGACGAGTATGGGACAACAGGAAGCTGTTAGTTGCTGGGTTGTCCTGCTTACCCACTTGACATCAGTGAGCCAGACCAAGTATCCAGGATGAAGTATCTCTTTTTCACCACTAGATGTCCTCGGTCTTCCTGGTTGAAAGACACCCAGGGTCACTCAGCCAGAATGAAGACTGTAGGTAGTCATGGTCCCGCCCCTTGATGCTTTAAGCATCCTTGTAGGACGAGTATGGGACAACAGGAAGCGGCTAGTTGCTGGGTTGTCCTGCTTACCCACTTGACGTCAGTGAGCCAGACCAAGTATCCAGGATGAAGTATCTCTTTTTCACCACTAGATGTCCTCGGTCTTCCTGGTTGAAAGACACCCAGTGTCACTCAGCCAGGATGAAGACTGTAGGTAGTCATGGTCCCGCCGCTTGAGCACCGCACCCTCCACTCAGAGTGTATGGATGCAGAGAGCGGTGCCAATGTAATCTGCGACATCCAGGACCGACGTCATCTGGTAGAAGCTTGAAGAGCAAAAAAACCCAGAACATAAGACTTGTCAAAAGATGTCTAAAAAAGGTTAAAAGAATAAAAATTAAATCGGGCTGGCAGGGGCCTCAAGCGGATGAGAACCTGGAGCCAGGATTCAGAAGACTAACAGCTAGGCAACTAGTATTTTCAGAAGGAGGTCATCAATGACATCAGTTACTCTGTATTGGAACAGTAAGCATTCTTATTTATTCCTCCTGGTTCTATTACAAGCCATCGCAGCAGAATTCACATTCATCCACGGTAATGAGATGGATTCTGCCGCTGGCTGCCCAGGACGGTCCTGTTAGTGGCACAGAATAAAGCAGAAGACTGGAGCCAGTCCAAGTCGCTGTGCGGAGGAAATGAGAGCCAGATCATGGAGGGATGGCGGTGTTTATGCAATCAGCGTTATCTCTAATGAGGGGTAAAAATCGTTATTTCTGACATTTCCTGACAGTGCGGAACGCAGGTGATTCACAGACAGCAGACCGCCTTCTCTTAAAGGTATACTAATTTTTTTTTTTTCTTTTAGGTCCTGCTAATCCAAGTGTCTGGAACAGAGACTGTCTGTGTTGCTCAGTAGCATCCAAACATTTTTCTCAGATTCCAACGGTTCAATTACTTTTAATGATATGGAGAAAGGTAAAATAGATGCAAAATTTTTTATTTATGGCTTTCACCCTATTCTATACTTTTTTTGTGCAGGTTATATACTTTTTGGAAATCTCTAGAACTTTCGAGTTGCCGTTCCACTAAAGACACGAAATTGAACCTTCTCTGCCTTACCGCAGCCCGCGAGGAAGAGGAGGTCCCCTGAGAACAGGCAGTCCGGTCCGTCCCCAGACTTGCCATCCAGCACGTAGATCATGTGACCGACCGTGTGACCAGGTGTGAAGTAGGCCTGAAACTGCAGGCGCCCAACGGTAAGCTGATCCCGGTCAGATAGCGCACTGCAGGGAAGAATAAAAAGTCATTAAAGTGTGCAGAGTTATTTCTTCATTCTGTAGATCACCCAAAAACTGGTCAAATTACACCCCAACTCACACATTGACCACACAGTCAATACCAAACTGCTATGGTCTGATAGTTTTTAATCTCTCACTGGTCTAATAGTCATCTTTGAAATACTTCCCTCCTCTGGCTCCCAGTACCTGAAATATGATAGTATGCCACCTTTGTGCAATGCAAACGAACCAGGAAGATATCCACTGCAGAACCCCCACAACTGTGATATCTGCCATGCACAGGATTGTGTAGGGCAGATCCAGCCCGATACAAGATTTTACTTGGCTCCCAGCTAGGGTCAGTGGTGTATCCTCAATGTGCACTGACTGAGGGTTAAGGTCAGCAGAGGCGGTCTATTGTCTTCACTTCTGATATAAAGGGGAACCCTGATGGGGAACCTGGTGTAAGTGGAGACTGATGGGGACACAGATGTGAGGACCCGGATGGGGACACAGATGTAAGGAGGGACCCAGATGGGGACACAGATGTAAGGAGGGACCCAGATGGGGACACAGATGTAAGGAGGGACACAGATGTAAGGAGGGACCCAGATGGAGACCCAGAAAAGGAGGGCCTGAGAGGGACCCAAAGGATTAGGTGGGCCCTGATGGGGACCCAAATTGTAAGGGAGGCGGCCCTGATGGGGACCGCGATTGTAAGGGGGGAGGCCCTGATCGGGACCCAGATTGTAAGGGGGGAGGCCCTGATCGGGACCCAGATTGTAAGGGGGGAGGCCCTGATGGGGACCCAGATTGTAAGGGGGGAGGCCCTGATGGGGACCCAGATTGTAAGGGGGGGCCCTGACGGGGACCCAGACTGTAGGGGGGTGGCCCTGAGGGGGATCGAGATGTAAGGGGGCGGCCCTGAGGGGGACCCAGATGTAAAGGGGGGCCCTGATGGGGACCCAAATGTAAGGGAGGACCAGGATGGGCAACTTGATGTGAGGGAGGACTCTGATAGGGCCCTGACGTAAGGGTCCTATCATAAGCAAGGGACTCCGGTGGATTATTTTCAGCCTGCAAATATTTGTAAAATATATGCATGGTTCTTATACTTAAAAGTTTGGAGACCCCTGGTGTAGAGTATTGGAACAATGAGAATCCCATAGCGTTTGGATAAGTTGAGTATAGGATTTTATTTACCATGATGCAAAAGTAGAAATCGAACGTGTTTCTGTGTCTCAAGACAACATTTCATTGGTGCTTGTATGCTGATAATTTAACGGTCAGGAGACACTATCACAGTGATACCACATCATTATGCTATCTGTTCTCTCTCTATAATTGCAGTCCAGAAGCAATCTAAAACCATTGTCAATGTAAAAGGCCTGATGATGGAGTTTTGAGCCCCTGAAATGGGTTGGCTTTCTAATTTTGGATTATGTTAAATAAAACCCTTCACTGGACATATCCAACCACCGTTGTACTCCTCTGGGGACCCGTTGTGTTTACCCCTATTGATGAACAGCCGCTTAACATTTTTGACCACTGGATTTAAAAAACACATGTCTATCTATGCAGAGGATTGTGTGAAGATTATATAAACATGTATTTCAGGTAATGCTAGAAAACCTAAAAATATATAAATATTTGAATTAATGCAAAGCTTGCCTTAACCCGTTTTCACATGTGTGCAGTCGTGCGGGTCGCGATTTGCGTGGACACGAGAACCCATTCATTTGAATGGACTCCCGTGCCCCAGGACATGCAGGAAAGAAGTCCCTGCAGTACTTGGAAAATCGCAGCCTGCATGGGAACCGACGTTCCCAGTACGGTTGTGACTTCCAGTGTGGGGTGGCGTGCCATTAGAATTAATGGCACCTGCCTGCGGGTCCCGCATTCCTCTGTGTGGGTGGTGCGGCTGCAGGTATTTGAGCGGGTCCTGCAGCGGCACCACCCGCACAGATGTGAACCATGCATGGAGGAGCTCAGCTACGAGGAAAGATTAGAGAAAATTAGTTTATTCTCTCTTGAGAAGAGGAGATTAAAGGCGGATATGATCTCCATGCATAATACATAAGGGGGGATATGATCTCCATGCATAATACATAAGGGGGGATATAATCTCCATGTATAATACATAAGGGGGGATATGATCTCCATGCATAATACATAAGGGGGGATATAATCTCCATGTATAATACATAAGGGGGGATATGATCACCATGTATAATACATAAGGGGGGATATGATCACCATGTATAATACATAAGGGGGGATATGATCTCCATGCATAATACATAAGGGGGGATATGATCTCCGTGTATAATACATAAGGGGGGATATGATCTCCATGTATAATACATAAGGGGGGATATGATCTCCATGTATAATACATAAGGGGGGGTATGATCACCATGTATAATACATAAGGGGGGATATGATCTCCATGTATAATACATAAGGGGGGATATGATCTCCATGTATAATACATAAGGGGGGATATGATCTCCATGTATAATACATAAGGGGGGATATGATCTCCATGTATAATACATAAGGGGGGATATGATCTCCATGTATACCACATAAGGGGGGGGGGGGATATGATCACCATGTATAATACATAAGAGGAGATATGATCACCAGGGTTGGACGCAGAGTTCCCCTTTTTATTAGAAGTATTCCTCAATCCTTTATTCCCTACCCCCTACCTTCCTGAGAGACACAGGGACAGATGTGTAAGTGTTAAAAGTTGCTGGCAGGCTGGAGTAGCAGGGGGCCCAGCGCTACAAAGCCCCCCCATAGAGACAGCAGACACTCTGTCCCAAGGCCTGTGTAAAATATCACACCTCCTAATCAAGATAAGATAGTTTTTTCCCTGGACTTGAAAGAAGTTGGAACCTCATAAACCCTACCAGGCAGGTGACAGAAGTTAAATGAACATTACTCAGGTCAGCTGTCACCTATGTTTCATATCATGGATTATGAAGCTGTCAGTTTTAATGCAGAGTCCCTCCGCCTGCCGAAAACAGGGTATTGGCCAGTATTCAGAGCGCCCCCCCCCCCCCCTATAGGGGGACTTTAAAAGACAGGCTGGCAAGCCTAAAAAGTTAAGAAAAAGAAGCTAAAGAGATCTCCTAATTTTAACATCGTAACAGCAGGAGATCAAAGACCCTTTTCGCTCTGCAACTTGGATCTGCTTACCTTAAGGCTGAACATGGCAAGTAACTTAACCTTTTAACTTCTCCCTGTTATCTCTTTGCTGTGCTGGGCCGTTTTTATATATAAATATATATCTTAGTTACATTTTTTTTGTAAATATTTTATTGCACCTGTTTGACTCTTTTAGTAATAAATCTTTCTTTCTGAAAGTGTTAAACTGTTTCTAAAGCGCTTAATTGCAATTTACGAATCCCTGCCTTCTGAAGAGACGCTACTGTGTTTGTTTAATCCTCTGCCCAATCGGCCTGCGGTGACCGTATTGGACAGGCGACTTTTCAACCATTACAGTGTATATTTGATAAAGAGAGTTTCTCTTTTGCTTTACAAAAAGGGGTGGTGGCAGTGAAGGGTTAGTTGCGTAATTAACCCGACCCAGTAACAAGCGCATTCAGGCTGCTGATGCGTCGATTGCGTTCCATTAGCAGGACAATCGTTGTGCAGGGCGCAGTCGAGTGTGGCATTGTTACGCACGTCACATCGCGGTTTTAGATCGGCCGGTCCTTCGGTCACGAGTTTGGTGAGAAGGTCTGGGGTCTGATGCCGTGGGCATGACGTATTATTTTTGGTCGCGGTTGTGCGATTGTCGCATGTTGAGGGTGGCGATCGGGCGACCGTGACAATCTCCATGTATAAATACATCAGTGGTTCATATAGTGAACTCGGTGTAGAGTTATTCACCCTGAGCTCATCACAGAGGACAAGGGGGCGCTCTTTACGTCTGGAGGAAAAGAAATTTAATCTACAAACACGGAAAGGTTTCTTCACAGTGAGAGCTTTGAAAATGTGGAATAGACTCCCTCAAGCGTTGGTTCTGGCCAGCTCAGTGG